ATGCTCCAGTATCAATGAGCCAGTTTTTAGTTTTGTGGACTACGGTTCCTTTTCCTGTGGACTAGGGCCGGATTAAGGGGGTGGCCACATGGGCCGCAGCCCATGGCGGCAAATCTAGGGAGCGGCAAATTTTGCAATTTTTATAAATGAAGGTATAAATAAAAAAAGAATTTAGGAAAAAAAATTACAAACGAGAAAAGGTTACAAAATCTCTCATTTCCTGAGAGTATGGCAATTTCTAATTTTGTCGTCTTTCAGTGATATAAGAGACAACACCTTTAATTAGTCGAGTTAAGAGAGAAACCAAACACACAATTTGGCCTGGAACGCGCCGTTCCACTTAGGAAGACTTAGGAAGAAATGATGACGATGACTTGAGATGAAAAGGAGAAGCCCTCGGCGCGGCAATCGACATGTAACACATATTAGCGCCTACAAGACTGCACGAATACTTCATGCATTGCATCAAACACAGTGCGGTTATTGCGGTCAGCGTGAAATGGATAGCGCCTACAAGAATGCATGAATACTTCACGCATTGCGTCCAACACAGTGCGTTCAGCAGAGGTCGGCGTGAGATGCATAGCGCCTACAAGACTGTAGGAATACTTTACGCATTGCGCCAAACACGGTGCGGTCTGCGCGGCGTGGCGCGGCAGCGGAAGTTAAAATCATTGAACCACATTTATGTTTGTTCTTTCATAATTGTTTCGTTCATTTCTTGTGAATGGAAGGCCTTGTCCACCCAGAGATAGGTTTACGAAACTTAGACCTTGCACTTGGAGAGTGCATTTAGTTATCAGAAATTTTTCAAGATTCCTTGAACAATACCTGTCAAGATGCAAAAATGCGGAACGAGTTCAAAGATGCTTATTTGCGCTCTCGTTTGAACAGGCTCGCCGGGAACTCCAAGATGGCGTCCGAAAATATCCCTCGCGCTTTAGGTGTACTCAAGATTGACAGAAGAGGCAAAAGTTTACCCTCGGCTCCTACCTCAGTGGAAGGAATATTCTCGGATGCTACCTTTGTTTTTAAGCGATGTACATGAAAATTACAGCTCAAAGACGCAATTTTAAACTCGTTTTTCGTGTGGCTTAATATCGTCCAAAAAAATGTGGGAAAATTCCTGCGAACCGAATGCACCCTCTGCTGTTCAAAACTTCAAGATTTAATAATTACTGAAGAAGTTCATTTATCATTCTATGCACAACTGTTCTTTTTTTTTCTTCACTCCCTTTTTTCATCGGTGAAGATCCATTTTTACGACGGTCGTCTTCATTACTTGAAATTGTAATTGAATTTTGATCTCAAATTATGAAGGTATTGGCCAATCCGAGGTCAACAATTTGAATCTTGTGCAACCAAGAACGTATAGGTAATACCCAGCTGATCTTCAATTTTCGAATTAGATTTTTCTCCACTTACTCACCACTCAGTCAGCTTTTTGAGACTCGTACTGCGGTGCTAAGGAAAAACGCCGTATGAGCATTCGAGAGTTGCCAAATGTCTCCGGATAATACATGTATTTTTTAGAAAAGTTACTTATTTTTCCTTGAAATTTTCAGATACTTTAAATTCAATTGCGCACAAAATTGTCTAAAAGTTTTGAAGGAAAATGATGACAAGTTTCCCAAATAATGCATGTTTTATTAATGGAAATATGACAAAGTTTGAAGGCTCATACGGCGTTCTTCCTAAGGACGGCGGTGTGAGAGTCCAGGCAAAGACCGGTTGGATTTAGAGATGGATTTGTGCCCAGGCTCATACGAAAACGAAATCGCCCAACTGGAAGCGGGTCATTAGTAGTTTCTACCGGGGCTTTTTCATCCTTTAAGTCACGCGATGCGTATTAAAACATATTGATTAACATAACCCCCAGGGGAGTCTACTAATAAATTTTCATGATAAAGGAGCAAGTCGAAGAGTTCTTATGAAATTTTTCGCGGGCGATTTCGCGCGCTCGAAGCTTGCTCATTAAAAATGCATTTCCGAATGAATTCCAGTGTTGCCTCTTCGGACACGATTCTCGCGTGTGATGCCGCAGTTTTTCTTCCATTTATATTAATTATAAATGATCAATTCTGCGCACGACAGCCTGTTTTGATACAAATCGATTGTTTCACATTCATTTAAATGAACAACCCCCGTAGCGTTTTCAAATTGTGGGGATCGACACTGTTTTGATCAAATAATCCAAAAAAGTAACTGGACCAGGACGCAATTTCTTGAGCGTTGTGAACCAAGGTTCGCCAATCAGGCCACACAGTTTTTCTTAGGAGCTGTATTCGTTTTTTTTAGTTACAAACTTTAAACAGTCGTAATTTCGATTTTTTTCTCTTTTTGACATGGTTAGGAGCTTTTGATTCCAGAATCTCCGCAGACCACTCCTTAATGGCATGGTTTAAAATTGTAACAAAAAAATAATTACATTTTGTATAACTACTCCAAAGAGATTACATATCAACCCACGAGACATTCAGACGGAGAGGTTTTGCGAATGAGCGTTAAAATTCGGTGAAGTGTAGGTAATGACAATTGACTGAATTTTGACGCTCGTGTCTAAATCAACGCAAGTCTCTGTTCTTACAGTTTTTTTTTCAAAATTAAACCTAAAATTGGACCGTTTTTAGCAGAAAGGAGCCAAGCCACATTAGCTAATGCCAAATTTGATTGGGCAGTTCAATTTCTTAAAAGAGAACATTTGTGTGGATTCCTTTGAAAATTTAAGGAATTCGCTTCGCTCTATTCAGAAAATTTACGAAAATTGCAATAATGGATGTGGCTTGGTTCCTTTCTGCCTGGCGCGGTCCAATTTAAAAAGTTGTGAGGGTATGGATGCAGTGGCCTGATGGAGCTGGGAGCCTTTAAGTACCTAAAATGCCGTCAATTTTTTTTTTTTTTTTTTTTTTTTTTTTTTTTTTTTTTTTTTTAAACGCTATATATGGGCCAAGATAAAGTGTGAGCTGCCTTGGTCTTTGAAGAATAACAATAATGATTGATTCTTCATTGTATAAATCAATACCAAACTGCAAAACCACGTACCGCCATTGCAGTGTTTCAAAATACCCGCACCTACTTTATTTTTTCTGAGAAGCACAAGTCAACTTTTTCGCTTGAAATTTATTCATTTTCTGTTAACAGAGAGGAAAATCAAGGAAGTTTTCAAGAAATTACGTTGATTAGTTTTCCGATGAAAAAATAAAGTATGACTTTGTAAACGTGGTTTGAGATACGTGGTTTTACAGTTTGGCTTCCAAAATGTGGACCGGCAACACGTGCGCTTTTCTAATACTTGAATTTTTGTTTACAAAGAAAATATTCAGAAGTCTCATCAAAATCTCTTTGCCAAATGATCATGTCACGAAATTAACGCTAGAATCACCACAAAATTAATCCCATCTAAAAGAATATATTCAGATTACAAATTCCTACCAGAATATATTCAGACAAACTGAAAGATAAGACAGGAGGATCTTAATGAAAGAGCTCCCAGTAACTTCTATTTCCAATTTTCTTTCCCCAACTAAATTAATAGGTCATGGATGAAGTTGTGTTCGGGATGCACCTTTTTTCAGAAAGGAGTACTTTTGTTCTTGCTCCAACTTTCATGGAAATAAATGCATATGTTGCACTAGCCAACACACAAATTAAAAAATGAAAATAACTAAAAATAAAAAAAAACGAAAGGTCAGGATATGGATTACATCTCCTCCGTTTGAATAATATACCTATATATTTTTTTTTATTTTTTAAAATGCTGAATCGTAAACGAATAATTTTATTTAAAGCAGCGTGAGATCATGGTTTAAGAATATGGTACCCATGCAAAATCTTTATTTATCGATCACGCTGCCCCTCGGCGAGAAATATCGAGAAATCTTCACCCAAGGTTGCCTTATTTGCGACGAAATGTGCATTTTAATATTGTAATTTTGGAAAGACGGGCAATGTTTCAGCACAACCGTGTAACCTCGTCCCCATTCACCAGGACTCAGATCCAGGCTCAAAAACCCAATGCAAATTCAAGCTCGGAATAGACCTCATGATTCTATTACAAAAATATCTCAGTAGGTCCTGTCTTGTATAGTAATATTTTTTTAAATTTATTTATTTATTCATGCATGTTTTTGTCTTTTTATACCCAGAAAATGAGTTTATTAATAGACACCGTTTATTTATCCTGAAGGATAATACAAAATAACATCCGAGGATAATTTAACTTTTTTTCTGTTCTTTTTTTTCTTTCTTTTGCAAAATTCTCAAGTTGTTTCTAAGCACCTCTTCATCGGCCTAATTTTCCCCTTCATTTTCTCATTATGAAAAAGGGTATTGTAAATTCATCTGGTATCACTTTTTATGAGACGTAATGAAGAGGGTCTCTAAGTTTCCGTACATGTGAAACCAAAAAAAGGAGATTTTGGGAATTTAAAAGATGAATAAATTGATGAAGGAAAGGAGATATAAAAATTGTGATCCACATACAAGACTCCATTTCACATTTCAAAACAAGAGATTTGAAACTATTTTTTTTAAAAGAAATATCAAGAAAAGCTTTAAGTCTTGTTTTATCTGGTGCTAAGTTCAGACGGCAGCAGAGTCTTGATATTACAAACAGCTGAAGAGACTTTTGACGTTCAGCTCTGCACTTTGAACTTCTTTGGAGACCTCTGGACTGAGAAACTCCTTCGAACTGAGCAGATACCACCCACACTACTCTTGAAGGCGGACGGCTCTCGTGTTTCGTTTGACTCGAGAATTAAGCATGCCGGCTGCATCGTTTTACCGCCTTTGAGTAGCATCATCTCTCTCTCTCTCTCTCCCTCTCTCTCTCCCTCTCTGATGATATTTCTCTCATGTTTTCTTGATACAAGACAGCCGACATGTTATCTACTTCAACCAAACCGTGTGGTTTTTCTTCATACAAAAGTATGTATCGAAAAAATTATCCAAGACACAATTTTAACCAATAGTGATCTACAGTCAGAAAGTAGAATCACTAATGTTATTGGGAAACAAAAAATATATTCTCAAAAAATATAAAATACAATTTGACAACATTCAATTCTATATATGTTTGGAAAACAATTTCATAAAAATATTTCTTGACAACATCAAACACTGAGTACATCTTGACAGAAATAAATGATCGATCAGAATACCGAGTTACTCTTTATCACACCCAGGACATTTTAATATCCTACAGTGATTAGGTTTATTTCACATTCATTTTTCATATCCTTTAACCATTTTTTCACGAAGCCAAGCCAAGATCGAATGATATGGATCAAAACTGGTGCTTGATACTTTTCAGAAAGTTTCTTGGTTCAGCGATATTATTACAAGGTGAAAATATACAATCTGTTAAGTTATTCCTGGCACTTAATTTGTACTTGAAAAAAAGACGGCGGACTACGTGTATTAATTTGTTTGTACGTACAATAAAATTTTCTACGTTCCATAGTCTGGTCATCATTTTCAAAAATTGGTCAGCATTAACCAGAATTAGTCTAACTGCATTGCACAATTTTTAATGTTCTTTTATGTTTTATTCATTTATTTTTTTTTTTACAAGAAAACAAGGAACATTTTACCTTAAAATTTTGTCAGTATACATATTTAAATACTAAAGAGAAAATTCACGAAGGGTTTGGAGGTAGAATGATATTTAATTTTCTTGTAAAATGAGTTACAAGACAATACGAGAAGAAATTAGACCTCTCTGGTTGAAGGTCCAGCTCAGAGATTCTGGTCGATCCTACCCAATTATTTTATCGTCAAGGTCTCTGGATCACACTCACTAAAAAATAAAAATTTTACAGGGAGATCACCCAATCTAAAAAAGATGACACAATACGCAAATGAATCACAAAAAAGTTTATAGTGCATGGATTTTTGAAATAGGTCAGTTACGTGTTTAACCAGGAAGCGCTGTTGTAATTTTCTGGATCAGCAAAAGAAAATCGGATTCCCTCCAACCATGATTGATTGGTTCAAGCTCATTCTACTCAACTCTAATGCTCATATCCAGTTTCAAGACCTTCAGAAAGCATAATTCCAAGTCATTGTAGTCTAAATTAGAAGGAAGTACCTACTGGCTACAATTCCACGGTGAAAACTTTTCCTAGAATTTTCTATAATTTTTCGGTATTTTTAGTAATTTTAAGACGGCTAGTAGGCCAATGGGACTCCAACAGCGTAATTATAAAAATCCGCAACAGTGGTGCCTCGCGCTTCACGCATGGAAAAATCTATCTTTATATGAGGGTCGGCGTGGCTCCATTTTAGAATCTTGATCTCGCTTTAGGATGCCGATATTAGGAAAAACATATCAATGTTACGCCACAAAAAACCGATATGAATGGATACATTCTCATGGATAGCACAAAAAGTGTGTGTCATTGATATTACTTTGGATTCGATCCGATATCGGGATGCTGTTGAATCGTCCCTACAGTAATCGCTATTAATAAAAACGTACACAATAGGGGCAATATTTCAGCCAAATATCAAGAGATCGGAAGAATAAAATTTCTTCAAGGATGGGGCAAACCTTCCAAAAATCTCGAGAATTCCTTAAAATTAGTGGAAGTTGACTAAAACCACCCCAAAAAGATCATATTAAAAATGCAGGGGAGGGGGTAACGCCCCCTTAGCCATCCCCAAATTATGTTTCTGCCCGCACGGAGTGAGCAGGAATTCTCTCTCCTTGGGACAGACCGGATGCTTTGCTTGGGCCCTTAATTGAGATCTTCACTCATCCTTCTGGAAAATGACTGCGTGATCCTTGTCTTCTTTGAGCATGTTCTCGTCGTCCCAACCCCAGACCTCCCCCTCGTGGCTGTGTTTCCGGGTGCCCGTTCGGTTGGCCCTCTTGTGGACCAAACTCAGGGGAACCGTCTTCAAGTCGTAGGCCCAGCCGATCTTGGCGAAGAAATCGATGAAGGCGGTCGTGAGGTTGGCCCGGTAGTTGCCCAGCTCCGCCGTCTTGTAGTCCCACGGGAAGACGTGGTGGTAGTTGTGCCAGCCTTCGCCCAAAGCTAGGATCGCCACGCTTATGTTCTCAGCTGGGTTGATGAATCTGCAAGAAAAGACGAAGAAGTTAGGACGTGACGTATTAAAACGAGGGGAAAAAGTGCCAAAAATGAGCTCGTTCAGTCGAGCTTCCGTTAAGATGGATGCGTTGAAATATCCCCCAGTTGAAACTCCAGCGGGCTGATTATTGAAATTGATAGACAGGCGATGGACTATGGAGAAAAAGGATAAATGGAGCGATCCTACTGGTGGAGGTGGAGGTGCAGTTGCAATGGATGATGAAGGTGTGTATTAGACTGATTTCCCCCTTACTTTATGACAACCACCGGACTGCCGTCCGTTTCGACGAACGGGATTGCTCCATTCTCCCCTTGCTCTCTTTGTCTATCCACTTGTCTATCAATTTCAATAATCGGCCCGATATTCCAAAAGCTATATTCACAAGCGTTCCTGATATCTTCTTTTCCCAGACGAAAGAACATAACTCCCTCCCAAGATTCCAAAGTTGACTCAAGCAACTTGATAGCTTACAAGAATTTGACCTAGATATTTATATCCAAAATTAATTTTTCCGTGTAATCAGAGAAATCAGCGAAAAATCAGTGAAAACAGTTAGAAAAGCCAGCAGTTCGCCAGTAATGCTACAATTTACGGGTAGGAAAGTTGAAACTTTGAAACGCAGTTGCGTTCTTGCGTCTTGGAAACGAAGATATCTGAGATCGTTCGACCAAAGTTGTGAGAGCCAAAAGATCTAAAAACTAACGAGTCTATCATACCATATTTGGCGCGAGATGAATTTCTTGGTGTGCTGAAATTTCTTTGATAAGTTTAAGCGTACAGGGCATCGAGAGAGGAAGAACAATTTTGAAAAGCATAGCCTCCAGTTATTTAACGAACAACATTTATTTGAATGAGCATAATTTTGATATGAAAGTAACTACCAGACATCCTCTCACGAACTGATTTTGGGAATTTTTCGCATCTATGTCTTGTGTATTTTGCGTTAACTTTTAACATAAAGACAACATTTGTGATGACCCGAAGACATGCCACCCCAAGGCAATTCCGGGATAAACATAAACATCTAAAAGCGAAAGAAGACCGAGGAACTTCAATAAACCAATTAGAACTTAAGTAGACAATAAGCTTCTTTGGGACAGGGGGGAATAAATCATAAACTGTATATAGGATCTTTAAAACTAATAATATGTAAACCTAGGCCTTCAGGTTATACCCTGTCACGTATCATTCTACCCTGTCATTTAATAAATAAAATAATTGTTTAACTTGGATAAAAAAAAAAAAAAAAAAAAAAAAAAAAAAAAAAAACATTTGTGATGCCCTCTCATAATTTCTTGATAATTTCTAAAACTCCGTTTTGCGATATGACGGGATGAAGGGCATCTCAGTGGCATGGCGTGCTTTGCGATACATCGATTGATGTGCCATTTAAACCTATGGAAAGGGTCGATAGACACGGGGCGTTAGGGGGGGGGGGTCACCAGCGCCTTAAACATCGATTCTTTATCATAACTTCCAGTGGGCCAAAATCGATAATCGATCATTCATGCCTCATCACTGGACATCCCATCAATTACTTTATCTCCAGACCATAGCCACTGAAACAGGTTTTATAAATTACACATGCACAGCCAGTAAACTGAGAAAATTTTCCAGCGGCACTTTTGCGCTTTGCCCTTCATATTTTCTGGATCTTTCTCAATTATCGGTCTCCACAGGGGGGTTAGATACAAGGAGTTTTCTCGAATGAGATGATCAAACGCTAAAAATTAGACTGTGTCTCCGGATAAGATGCCTAATCATTTTTTGGCATTGCTTGGGAGAGAGGTGGCAATGATTCACTGGACGTGCGATAACTGTTTGTTGACAAATACCAAACTTATTATAGGTCAAGAAAAATTCCAACTTTTCCGAGTGTTTATCAGGAAAAAACTTTGGAAGATAAACCTTGGACCGTGATCTAATTTGACCTATGCAAGGTCGGGTTGTGTTTCCAGGTACTTTAAAGTTTCTTTTTAAATGACAGAAAGTTAATTAATTGGACGTCACTGTGCCGTAGACGGTTTGCCTATATATTTAGACTGTATTACGCAATATGAAACTACAATATACCTGTCTCATCTATAAAAACGTCTATCCGCTTACGCAACTAATAGTACAGACGTTTTTTTCTAAACTAAGCAAGAAATAGAAGTTCCATTTTGAGTAATGCATGCAAAATGAACTACAGTTCATTTTGAGCCCTGAAAAATACTTGAACTTACATTTACGTAGTGATCCCTGGTAAAAATTGGCGATAAGAGCGGCGTTTCAAAATACCATAGGAATTATTATAGCCGGCTAAAGAAGGCTACAGACAAACATATAGCTGGCTGTAGAATGCGGAGAAAATCATACGGCCGGGTTATACGAAGCGATAAAAAATTATGCAGCCGGGCTATAGTTCCTATAGCCATGCTTTACACTTTATCGCCTGCCTGTTGCTTTTTCGCCAACGATTATAAAAGGCTATAAGAAATTGTGTAGAAATTCGTGTGCTTTGGAAATCATTAATTTTGATACCGAACCACCTTAATATTTACAAAACACACGTTATGTTTTCCTTTAATACATATTTTTTTTTTCATCAATTAAAACGAGAATAATCCATACAGGATGTGCAAACATTTCAAAATCATGAGTTGAATAACGCTGACTCCGCCAGATTAAATATTAGAGCCTAACACAAAGCGGAGCGGCGACGCACTGGCGCCTACAAACCTAACAGGGATACTTCACGCATTGCGCAACGCGTGAAGTACTTATCCCTGTTAGGTTTGTAGGCGCCAATGCGCGTTTTGCGCTGGCTGCCCGCCTGCCGCACCGCAGCGTGCCACGGCGCTTGAAGCAACTATTTCACACCAGAGGTATTGCACAGTATCATGAGAAATTGAAAGCGCTCCAACTTATTAAGAATGGCAGGCATCCTTCAAAAGTACGGAGCTTTCCTCGCAAAATAAATCAAGATACTGCGGCCCAAAAAGAGAGCAGTAGTCTAAAAACTCACTAAGTCCAAGTAAATCCGTAATTAGTAACGTTTAGCGTACACTTTATCCCTTGGCTGTTGCTTAATCACCGTCGGTTATAAAAGGCTTTAAGAAATTGTGTAGCCGGCTATAGAAGCTATTGGAAATCTTACAGCCGGCTGTAGGTCTATGGTATTTTGGAACACAGATTCTACTGCCAATTTTTACCAGGGATTTTAAGTAGCCTTTTCTCAGTAAGATCTCACATGGTTTACATTGTGATCAAGGGAGGTTTGAATTGGCGCATTTGATAGAATATCATTAAAAGAAAAATTTCGATAACCTCGAGTCGGTACAAAAAATAAATAAAAAAACCAGGTATAATGCAGCTGTGCTTTAAGACGGGCCCAAAACCTATCTCAGTATCTTGAAAACTGGGTAAATTTTTTATTTTCCCAGTAGTTTTTGTTCTTGAAGTGGCGAATCATTACAATCCATTCGAGGATATTTATTTTCAAGCTATTGTGTAAATCTACCTTAAAGATTGTAAATATTTTGATTTTTTCGATTTTCTGCATTTCCTCTCACCCTAGTATCCGACACAAATAATATACCCCTATTGCTCATCGCTTACTGCTGTCTATTTTGAACTTACCTCGAGCATGCAACTAATCGAACTCTGCGGATATTTTTTTGCCTATACGCCGGAATGAAGGTGAAATGACTTCATTGCCATGTGGTTACCAGTAAATGGCACATTATCGTTGATCATTTTGGCAAATAAATAGGTAAAATACGATCATTGATCAAGCATGCAATATTCATTCACTTTCATTCAGTCCGACATAAATCCGTACATATAGTGAATGTATTCTAATAAAAGGAGTGCCATGTTTGCACGAATATAATTCCGAAACTCGCATGTTTTTTTTTAGGTAAGCTCATCGTGAGTTGTCTGAAGACAACGATTAAAGCCTGTTTCATCGAAAAAAATTCGAAAAATGTCCGCTTACTTGTCGTATGGACGTTGTCCCCAAAGATGCGCAGCGCTATTGACCAGCCAAGTTACGTTCAAGATGAACGCATACCTCCATAATGTGGCCACGTACCATGCGTTGCCCCACGTTTCTCCCCAGCAGTAAACGGGCACTACCGTGGGGAGGATGAAACAGAATAGAAGTACCATTTTCAGGTAGTGCCTGTCAAAAAAAAAAAAAAATGTCGTTAATTCGCAGCAATTGGAACCGAATTCGCGTTTGCGTGGAAATGGCCTGTAGGATATAGAGTCCCTTTATACCCAGAGTTAAGACAACTCACTTTTGGTTGGGCTGAAAGTGGCCTAAAAAAAAATCCAATTCTGATTGGTTCTCGCTCATGGAGGCCGAAACGAGTGCACCAAGATGGCGGTACCTCGAATGTGAACAAGAATAATGAAAATATTACCTAATTGTGGTTTATCAAGAGTAAATTGTTATTTCCATCGGTCCAAAATGAAAATAGATTAAGAAATTATTCACAAACCAATCTCATTTTCTTTTTAATTGATCAATTTGTTGATGTTGTTGTTTTTGTGTGACAGACATCGCAGGATTCCTGATCCTTATCCCTCAATATCGTTCGTTTGGGTGCACTCATTTCGGCCTCCATGGCTAGCCAAGGCCGGCTGCCAGTCAGGTGATAATCGAGTTGTCTTAACTCTGGGTATAAAGGGACTCTAGTAGGATAAGCACTGGAGCAGCAGTCATCACCCTTTTTTCGGCTGTTGACCTACCTACCGGGTGGATGATGAGCTTCGGTTGACGTACTCGTAGTAAGCCAAACAGTTTGCCAAACTTCAGTATGTTTGCGAAACGGGATACCCAACACGTTGTTCAACACCCATCCAGCAGGTATATGTCAACAGTTGGATTACATTTTGTGATAAGGAACCACATCTTTGGCTCTTCCATAAAAGCACCTTTCTATACAGGGAAACCAATGGTATACATGTTGTTTCTAAAATGAGCCAGAAATAATGGTTCCTTCTTGCAAAATGTGGTCCAGTTGAATGTTGGAGTCTCGAAGCGATAAAGCTTCCATCATTGCCAAGATAGACATGGAGGGTCTCTCTGTGTCTATGATCCAAGACGACCTTATCAAGCTTAAAAAATAGGAGGTACCTTTTTTGGAATTGGACGAGGGGCTCGTCATCGAGATCTTTGAGATCGATGCATCGGCCTTTCTGTATGACGTCCGGGTGTTTGCGACACAGGAGCCAGCCCACGTGGGAGAAGAAGAAGCCCCGCTTGGCGTTGTGCGGGTCCGCGTCCGTCTCGCTGTACTTGTGGTGCACTCGGTGATCCCGCGCCCATTCAAACACGCTGTTCTGTCAATTAAAACAAATGCTTATGTGAAACCCCTTCATTTTTTCGAATATGCAACACCGATATCCGTCAAGCAGGTATAGTTGCATCCATTCAGGCGCTAGGTTCATAAAGTGTAGCTGACATAGTGAAACAATGAACTTCACCCTACGCTGTTGACTCGCTTATTTTCAAATCATGAAGAAATCAGCCTAATACAGAATTGGACTACATTTTGCAGTTTTGAGCAGCATTTTCTTCTTTTACACAGAATTTTCCAGCATAATTGAATCAGCGAGAACGAAAACACTCCAACTCGAAAAAACGAAAATAATCAAGACACACACAAAACTACACCGCAGGTGAAGAAGCTAGTCTAAGAAAAATATTTTTGGTGCCAAAAGACAAGTTTGAAAGGACACTTTAAAGGTCCAAGTTGGAACAGATGCACTAACTTCAATGACCTTTATGAAAATTAACTGCCTTTAATGAATATTGAGCATTTTCGAGTTACCGAGTTGGTGTGTTTTCGTTCTCACTGATTCAATTGCGATGGAAGTTCTGTATTTACATTAAAAATATACTGCAATTACATCAAAATTTCACAATTTTAAAGAATAAAATATATGAGTAAAACGACGGGTGAACGCAGAAACCACACATCCATGTTGCAGTTTTCGACATGCTTTACTTTTACTTCCTCTTCTTTATTTCTTTTGAAAACCGATTGAAGTAATCTCTTAAAAATCCCCATTCATATCCCTCTCTTCTGGAAAGGGAAATATTTCAGAAGGAATACGATTCCTCGTTTTCCATCGACAAAATACAATTAGAGTAAAAGAGATGGGGCACTGTATTCATTGAAATACGTGGATCTCGAATTTAGTTACTTGTATGACGCAATTCGGAAGCTTTAAGTTAAATAAAGTTCGAAATTTCAGTTGAATGACAGTGTCGCAGTATTTGTATTCAATACAAGCGTATCTCAACGACATTCCAGGAATTCAGATCATTCAGTTTGATTAGAGAGATTTTTCTGGATAATTTAAAAGATTGTGTGAGTTTTAGTCCTTTCAGTATTTACTTACTTGGAAAGCTAACGAGTTGAGGATGATTAAAATGAGCTTCAACGGCCATTTGGCTTTGTATGCTCTATGTGACCACAGTCTGTGGGCCCCCGCTGTTATTCCAATTGCTGATGCTTGATACAGCAAAAACCCTGGAGGAAAAACAATGAGAAAATTTATTAAATCTAACAGAAAGAAGATTAAGTTCACGCAATATGCTGCTGCATAAGCTCATGTTGGAAGCAAATTGATGGATAAACTCTGGACACACATACTTCAAAACGCGACACCGCAATTTCCTCTCCTTTTTAATAGTTAACTTAAGACTGTACTTTTTAATAAAAAAACACTCTCATTATGCCAGAAAAATGTATTTGAATTTTATTTGCTCTTTTATAGTCATTCCGCACATCCATCTCAATTCCATAATTTTGGCAAAAAATTAGCTTGCATCGAATATACATCTAAGGTCGATTGGACTGCATTTTTCGATTGAGAACTACGATTTCTGGCTTACAATTAGTTTAGGAACAACGAATGTGCCATTAGTTTCCCTATGCACAAAAGTTTTTACAAATGAGACAAATATTGTAGTTCCGAATTGCAAAATGAAGTCCAATTGGAATTACCTAACCTTTTTTGCAAGTCACACCTCCCAGTTTAGAGCAAAAACTGTTGCAAGTTGCTTCTTATTTCAGTGCACGCATGGTGATTCCGTGACAATTTTGAGAACGGAGAAAAAACTACGTTGTTTTGAACGCAAAATAAAGTTCTGCGTTGATTACTTTTTCCCCATTATCATCACATTATAGACGCTCTTGTTTCTGGAACATTCTGGAACAGTTCATTTAGAAATCTCCTCTCTTTTTCGCCCCTCCCCAAAGGGTTTTGGGTTAAGTATTTTTCTTTTGTTTTGAACTTTTACGGACTTTTACCCCTCCCTTCCCCCAAAAAATACATCCTCACAGCGTTCTTTTCGTTTCTTATTGTTTACACAATTTAATTCTTTTTCATTGTTTTGTAGTCTCGAAGTTTCTCGAAGAACAGAACAGGGATTTTCAAATCCCGTTTACAATAAAGAGGTCCCTCCACCTCAATGGAACAAAAGGGATGCATTTTTGTCCTTTTGTTCCGTAAAATTCGGGTTTCCCGCCACAGGACAACGAGGAAATAGTTTCTAAATTACATCCTAATTGCAGGAGGGGTCAGCAGAGGGGGGTGGGAATTTTGGAGGTGGCTACAGACCAACCGAGCTTACAAAAGGGAGACCCCTTCCCTAAAGTTCAATCAGTGTGAGTTTAGAAAGCGAAGAAGTTGCATGGGTGAACAGGTCAGAGGGTCAATGGTTCAGTGGCTTAGTTGTTTAGTGGTTCAGTGCTTCAGTGCTTCAGTGCTTCAGTGTTTCAGTGTTTTAGTGTTTCAGTGTTTCAGTGTTTCAGTGTTTCAGTGTTTCAGTGTTTCAGTGGTAGTGATTTAGTGGTACACTGCAGTCAGCAACCGGAATTCCAAAATTTGTAGTAACTCAATTTGGATTAGGCTCCTAATATGTAAGTGAACCTTATAGCTTACTCATACCTTCTATTTTTATACACTTGAAATTTTGATAGTTTTAATTTTAAATTTTTTATTTTTCAAATTTTTATTTTTCCAATTTAAACATTTCAAATTTAAATTTTTAATTTACAAATTTCAAATTTTGAATTTTCAAATTTTCAATTTTTTTTCAAAGTTAAATATAGCAGTCATTTTTCAAATTGAAATTTTTTCGCTTATAAATTAAAAATTTTAGGTATATTCTATAGTATTTTATCATTACTACGGCCGTACCAGGTTTAAATTTTTACTAATCATCGTTTTAGGTACTCGTATTCTCAGAAAAAAGATTAAGGGAAAAAGAAGGTAAATAAATAAAAAAGGAAGAAGGAAAGTAATAATTTTTTATTCCAATTCATTCGAATTCTATGGATCAACAGTATATTAAGGTGATTCGATGGACGCCATATTTTGTGTCAGAACGGCATGCGATATATCGCATCAATTAGTTCCATTTTTTTAGGTACTTGTCATTTTTCTCCAATTTTGAGATCGCAATTCTGTTGTCAGGAGACTAAAGTACTCACTTACCAATTTTAACAAAGAAATTCAACGTAATAAAGGCGTGGTTTTTTTTTAGAGAGAAAATATCGCATTCGAAAGCAGTTTCGATATCAGTATCGAATGCGATGTTTTCTCTCAAAAAAAACCACGCCTTTATTACGTTGAATTTCTTTGTTAAAATTGGTAAGTGAGTGCTTTAGTCTCCTGACGACAGAATTGCAATCTCCAAAATATAGAAAAATGATGAGTAGCTGAAAAAATGGAACCAATTGATGCGATAAATCGCATGCCGTTCTGACACAAAATGTTCATCGAATCACCTTCATTGTTTTCCTGCAATTTGCAAAGATCTACACAACCAAAAAAACCCTTAGATTGTGAAAACTTTCTTGAATTCTTGAGTAATTTTCAGCGCTTATTCTGAAAAAATAAACGAGAATCAACCCTCAAAATCGCAGATTTTTTAATAGAAATGAACATTCGTTTGGTTAAAGTTTAAAAGTAATCAATCAAAGTATTTATTAATTGGACTGCATTTTGCAATATGGAACTATAAATTCTAGCCCGGTTTAAAAACAACGTATGTGCCATTAGTGTGCACTATGCACATGAGTGTTTTTTCAGATGAGCGAGAATTAATAGGTCCAAATTGCAAAATGTAGTCGAATTGTCCAATCGCTCTCATGCTTTTTGACTTATATTATTGCAAAGATTACTAAGGACTCCAGATACCGCATTGAAATAAAAAACGGCCCCCAGTTCCCTGCAGCTCCAGGGTAGGCAACCTGTTTAGCGGTATGCCATACTTCGAGCTAACGAATATACTGCTTGCCGTGTGTTTGACCGGTTTCGCCGTGCTGTGCTAAGTTTGGTTGAAGATTCACTGTATTAAATTTTCTAATATTTTAAATCGTTAAAAAATGCCGAAAAAATCAAAAAAAAAGAAAGAAAGAAAAAAAATTAATGCAAACATCTCTGCTCAATTTTCTGAGTCCATTTACCACAACTAGTGACTAAAATGAACAATTTTCGCAATTTGCCGTTCATAGTCTGCACATTCGAAGTGTTCGAAGTGCAGTTTCCCATGCACTTCCATTACGAGTGGGCTAAAGTATGGCATACCGCTACACAGGTTGCCTACCCTGGCGCTGCAGGCGACTGGGGGGGGGGGGC